AGAGCTGCTTTATTAACTCATGTCCTTAGGTAATGCAACTAGAAGAAAAACTACTGAATTGTCTTTAGTTACAGGTAGGAGTTCACCATGCTACATATTGCCTCAAAGGACATGAGTTTTCCTAGATTTGATTTTCAGAACAGCCATACTTCTGTAAAGTGAACTGTAAGCTTTCTAAGAGTACTGCTTATCAAGTAGTTAATATGACTATTGAAGTACTGAGAGTCAAACTGTAGACAATACTATTTTACTAGAATGAAACACAATGTTACAAAAAGTTTCCATTGGCTTGAATGATTTTGCAATCATGAGTCTATTATGCCTTAATACATACTTCAGTTCCACTGAGTTATAAAATGTATTTCATGGGGTTATAATGATTTTAAAATAAGCAGCATGTAGGCATGAAGCATCTCAACATTAAAAAATGGTAAAGAATCTCGTTGGTGCTATCAAACTCAAATAACCTGTCTATATTTTTTTGCTACTGGTACAAGTACTATTTTGTTCATAACTGATCAAGTCATTAATTTCTGTTATGAAATACAGACTGCATAGATGAGTTTGATAGCACCAACAAGGTTGCAGTGCTATAACAGCAAAGATGCACTGTTGTAAACTTTCAGCATGTTGTTGCTGCTATTTTATCTGGCAGAGCAAAGAGGCATCAGTCTATTTCTGTGGTAACTGTATGTAAACATTAACTGCAGTAGAAAGTTATGTACAAGCTGTGGAGCTTCTGTTTTTGATAGATCTTTTTCATCATTTTTACGTTGATTTCAGAGGCTGCTAATATCAAGATGCGTAGAGAAAATCTAGGGGGGGAAAAAAAAAAGCTTTGTATTCTTCAAATGGTAATGGAAACCCTACTTTTATGAACCTTAAGTCTTGCAAAGTTATGGAATGGACAGGTAAGTCCTAATCATTGAGCAGAATGACTCCACAGTAAACATTACTGAGATAACATGATTTTAAAATCAAGCATATTTTTAAGTAATTCATCAGTGTTTAACTCTTGGTTTATTTCCATGTTTGGAACCCATAATTGTGCTATATTAATAGCCGAGTTGTAGCAAACATGCTTAATGCCAACTTCTGTCTCCCTCACAGTTTGTTTCATACACTTTTCCAGTTCACCATCAAATTGCTTTTATTTAGTAATTATTAATAATTCCTTATCTGGCAACAGCACAAAAATTTGTGAAGAGACTAAATAAAGATAAAATGGTAACTAACAAAGATCTAAATCACACTTTTCTTAAGTTCTTACTAAAATTACATTTTCCCTGAAGTTTCTATTTCTTCATGGATTCTAAAGAGAGGAGAAATATGGCAGCTGTGCCTCAATAGCAATTGATTTTAAGTCAAAATTCTACCCCAGGACCTTATTGTAATCATGCTTGCTTGGCTGAAGAGGTCACTCGCACACAGCATGAGCAGAGTTCTCATGGTCCAGGTCTCTTTCCAGGCCCGAGCACCACAAGGCGGCAGTATAAAGCCCTTTAGGTACTGAAGGCTTTTGAACAAGCTGTAGAACAAAAGCTGAGACAAGAGACCATGTAACTACATAAGGCCAGAGCAAATATTTGAATCAAGTTTGGGGCAAACTCCAAACCCTATCCCTAAATCTCGAGGAAAAGAACACACAAAGACAGCTATTTTTTTAAAAATGGATTATATAATTATATTGCAGTGTTAACATTGACTAGGAACTTCTAAACAATTGCATACTATCATACATGCAAGTCACTTCCACTCCAGAACAGAACAGTTTTATGGTATATCCCAAATATCCTGTCAACAGCTAATATACTGCAGTGAAAAAGACAAGTTTATTTAACTCTAGTGTTGTGTTCCTGAAAGTATGAAAAATACTTGCCGTTTGTGCCACTTTCAGGAAGAGTTCTGTACATTTGGGGTTTATGACTAAACAAAAAGCCAGACCAGTGATACAACACTAGTTGTCCATCTTCTGCATTTAGGGAAAAGATAGAATCTAGTTTTCTCAAAAAGGTATATTTAAACAGCTGTTTGAATTTCTGATTTGGAATACTTTTGAAAAAATCATTTTAGCATAATCATATGAATTGGAAAGTAGTTCTGATTCTTCCTAAAAAAAACAAACTTGTTTCAATGACATAGCTGCTACAAAGAATATTTTTAGGACTCTTTCCTGTGGTAAGCATGATAAAGTCAGAGAACAATCAGAATTTTCATTTTCTGTCTTAGCTGGGAAGACAATAACCAGAAACTGTATTCCTAGAGCAATGCAATAGTTTAATGGTGACTGTGATAGTTTAACTGTAGCAAGAAAATCACTGAGTTACACCGAGTTATTATTTTTCCTAGCACCCAAGGAGTTGTCCAGCTTAGTATTGTTATTTGATGCATATTTTATTCTGGATCCCAGTAATC